TCATATATGTCATCAGCTGTGTTCGTATTCCTTATCTGCATGCATCTGGGTATTTGAGCATATTGTACTTTGCGTTGTATTTTGACGAGTCTGTATGTGTTTAGTTTTCTGGCTATATATTTATTCATAGGAAGTGTTATTAGCTACGCATCGTACGTTATCGATACGTAGTACCCTCTATACAATTGCAGCTTTTTTTTCCTGTTTTAACATTTATTAAGTGTAGCTGCATAGGTAGTTCGTGAGCATTTTAGTTGACATTCCCGTTACATACATAGTTGATTATACAACCACGTCTTCTGGTCGAGGAGCGGTATACGTAGGAATATTTTGTAAGCCAGATCACAAGTGTGGTGGAAGCATGACTAACTACGACCTTATATCCACTCGTACGTATTCAACTCATGTATATCAAACCCACATTCTGTGATGCATCGACACAGCATACTTGCAGTGGTCTGTGTATGGTAGCTATACTATAGATAAGCGTGCATAACAATAACTTGCATTACCACCTGAACCGCACACTCTCTATCAACACTTCAGATCAAAGGCATTAAAGTCAGCCGACGCGCCAACCTGCGAGGACTGGGCAATCTGCGCACCGGTGACCAGGTGTGTGTGACGGAATAAGCAGGTGCACTATTTTCTCACATAGACTCGCAGGGTTTATTTTCTCATACACAACGCCCGTGTAGTATTTTCTCACCACTTCCTCACAGATCTTGCATACTCTCAAGTAACACTGCAATTGGCTTTCTTACTTGTCGGCCGGTTTTCGTATCGCTGCATTAATCTATCAACAGCTTCGAAATGGTTAGAAAATAGCAAAACTCATACAGGACTATATTGCCATTGCAGTAACGATCCAACTCACATCCGAACCGTAGCAAGCGTGTGCATATGCAGCACTTCGCATCCATTCCGTGCCCTGTGCGTGAATCTGTACAGAAACCGTTGAATACGCGCTGAACATGTGTGTTTGATGCTATTTGTGCACGCATATGTCGTTGATCAATTCAGGCTAAGCGTTTGTATTGGCAGGGTCGCTGGATATAACCGTGCCATTGCGTGTATCTGTGTGTTGCCAGCTGTGATCTGACCCATATGCATGCATATACATACACATACTGTACTCAACTATGATCACACTCATATCTCATCAGCACACGTAAAAAGTCGTTGAAGGAAGTTAAAATATCCATGATGTAGTACAATCCGTTAACTAGTATATCTCATAAATGTTGCATGTCATGCACGTTATATATATATATGCACACATATCAATACGTACACTTAACGACAATGTACGCTATGTGCTTGTGTGCACAGAATGTCTTCTCGCATGGGAGTGTTTTGAGGGGTGATTTAGCCTTGATCACAACCGGGCGCAATGTTTTTCTGGGCACCAATTCCGTGCTGCAGCCACCGCACAAGCTATTCAAAGAGTAAGTTGGCTACTCTGTGGAGCATGCTTGAATGCACGGAGCATACTTGGAATGTGCAGAGTACGGTCGGAAGTTTGAAGGCTACATGTACAACAGGACCCGTGAATCGAATACAGGCTACCTTGAAAAGTCAGCTGATTATTGTGTGTGCTATGCTCTTGCATACGGGCTACCTTGTAAAGTCAGCTGATTATTGTGTGTGCTATGCTCTTGCATGAGTTGTTTAATTATGTTATGTGAGATGTCCGATTTTTGATTTGAGAGATGTGTGATTATAGCATGTGGGATGTGTTATTATGACCTGTGAGATGTCTGATTCCGACAGCTCACTAGCATTGTTGTAGTGACCATGATATCGGCAAGATTGCCGAGACAGATCTCGTATACAATACACACGTATTTCGTGTCTGTTTTGTGTCCTGTCGTGATGAGTATCCACTGCCACCCGCGGTTTCAACCTCAAGCAATTCATAGGGCGAAGTAGATGCTGCTATGTACTGTGAGTTGTCAAAGACTTTGCATTGTGTGGTGGGTAGTGTTAAAGGCCAATCATCGGTGAATGTTCATTCGGAGAACAGTCCTGTGCATACATCGAGTTTACAATCCATACCGGGACAGGTAAACCTTTCCCTCTGGGTTTAAACCCAACTAGGTTTTTCCTCACCGAGCACTACTTTACACATGACCATATTATTGACCACAATCTCACCCCCAAGTTTATTGTCCTAGTACAGACGTTAGTGAGATTCGACAATAGAACCACTAAATGATAGACCGCGGAGTGCGAGGTTTGAGATATATTAAATTGCAACGCACACAAACCTTCCATTGCTATATTCAATAGCGAACATCAGGTTGCAGATGCGAACACACCAACTTACGCATACACACCCTACATGTACACTAAAACAAGACAGTGTACACTAAAACAAGACAGTGTACACTAAAACAAAACAGTGTACACTAAAACAAGACAGTGTACACTAAAACAAGACAGTGCACACTAAAACAAGACAGTGTACACTAAAACACGGCGGTGTACACTAAAACAAGACAGTGTTCTCCGCCACACCATGCAGAGTGCGAAGCTACTATCGTCAACAGATCGGCAGCCACGTGGTCATTGGCCGTGAATGTGTGGTTAATGCCGCCGCAATTGGATCGTACGTTCGAATTGGGAATGATGTCATCATTGTATGTGCAAATGTGACTCAGGATGGTTAACGCCAAGCGCCGGCTGTTGTAGTTTATCTGTAGATTCCCTCGTTAATGTACACATATGCGTGCGAAACAGACGTTTATATATATATATATATATATATATATATATATTGCAACTAATAGCGTATTCAATTGACTGCGTGTCATTCACGCTTGTATGCTGCATAAGATCAGCCCAGAATAGTATCCATACCCACCCACGTATGCTGATATTCTGCTGCGGTTCCGTGTGCCTATGTTATTTTGTGGCGCCATAGAGAGTTCAGTGCTGGAGTTGTGCTTATGGGGGATTGGGGCATATATATATATAGATATATAAATATATATAACTTGCCTTGTCGCCTGTCCGTAGGGCCAGGGATGCGTGATCAAGGACTGTGTACGGATAGAGGACGGTGCTGTGCTGCCACCAGACATGGTAGTAGCGCCATTCAGTGTGGTGGGAGGGTCGCCAGGTAATGTGTTATAATGAGTACACCCACCATGTGACACATAATCAATGCATGTGTGATATATGCATGGGGGTATATGTTGACACGGTACATCTGGATATATAGCTATGCAATTGCTTACGTGCAAACGTGATGGAAGTTTCTAGGGCTAAACAGAAGGGTTAATACAGCACAATATATATATATATATATGTGTGTGTGTCTATAAGTCTATTTATATATATTTAAATATGTATCTATCCATCTATATCTATATATATATATATATATATGTATATATATATATATATATATATATATATATACATATATATATATATATACAATATGCTATAAATATATACAAATAATACAAATAAATGATATATATATATATGTATGTATGTAAATATATATATGTACATTTATCATTTATTTACATTACATATATATATATTATATAGTATATTATATATGTATATATATATGTGTGTGTGCGTGCGTGTTGTATATATATATATATGTGTATATATATATATATATATATATATGTATATATATATATATGTATATATATATATATATATATATATATATATATGTACATGCATATATATATATATATATAAATTTATATATATATATATATATATATGTATATGTTTGTATATATATATATATATATATATTTATATTTATATATATACATATACATTTATTTATATATATGTCTGTGTCTGTGTCTGTGTCTGTGTGCGTATATATATACATATATATATATATATATATATATACATGTAATATATATATATATTTATTATATTATATTATATTATATTATATTAAATATATATACATGTAAAGACTACAGTCCTCAATCCGACGCATAACCCTCGCTTCCTTTCCATCCCACTCCCGCATGCACAGCTAAGATCATAGGGCGGTGCGTTGACGTGGAGTCGCAGTTGGGTGAACAATTCGCAATAGACACGTACCACACGTTTGTGGCTAAGTTGGACAGCGCCACCCCACAAACGTGACAAGAGGTTTAGTGTATACGAAGTCGCGGGTGATGATGAATTTGTGGGGTATCGGCTACGACTGGTAGTGCTGGGTAGGATGATACTGTGGTGGAGGACAGTTGAAGTGTACCTGATTGCTTTATTATAGCTGACGCTGGTTTGCAGGGGAATTCATTGTATGGCGATGGCGTAGGTAGGCCTACAAGCGTCACCACATCGGATGATGCTGTATGGGATCGTGCACCCCTGTGACAGTCCAAAAAAAAGGACCGGTTGGGCACATGGAGCGAATAACGGGACAGGTGCAAGCACAGGAGATGTTGAACCAGGACTAGTTAGTGAGTGGGATGGCTAGCATGCAGACAGACCACTTGACCGCACAGATTGCGTTGAGTAAGACTGGTGGGGAGGACTGGCGCGCGTGTGCGTGGTTGCTGTGAATGTGCGGAACATGTGCGCAGTCGCTGTGTGGAGGGCATTGCGGCAGAGTGTATTCGGAGTGAGAGGACAATGTGCCGGATGCCCGTGTGTACCTCCGGATTGTCGGAAGTCAGTCAACTTATGCGACGATCTTGAGGAGGTCTGAGCGTATGCACACACAACAACCCGGTGCGATTTAGGGTTTTAGGTTTCACATGATGTCCAGTGAGCGGCACACCTTGCGGATTGCTACTGTACCTGTGGCCGTTGTACTCGAGGGAACTTCGCAGATGCGATACGCTCAACATGTCAGACACACGCGTCAATTGAAGCTACATAACGGAAGGAGTGCGATGGCCCGTCCGACCATTGTCATACCTGTCAGAGAACGCACGACAGTTGTAGTCTATGTAATGGTTAGTACGACAAATGTATATGGGATGTCTGATGATGCGACATATGCAAACTACGCTCAGCGAAAAGACGCCAGTTGTGACGTGCGGGGGCCCTCCTGTGTGGTGTTAGCAAGGTTTTAAAACATGTCAAGTGGCTTCCTATCCCGACATATATGGTTGGTGGTGATGTAGTGTATTTAGTGGCCTGACATAGGTGGTGGTGTTGTTGTATTTGATGAACCATCGGAAAGTGGACATGCCCTTTCAATAGCGAAGGATGCATGTCATAGCTTTGTTGCGCACGTTATTGCATCACCTGGCTCGTGTAAACGTCTGACGAGGAATGTTGGTACGTTATGCTGTCGTGAGTATCTGGGGCATATCATATTCAGATACGAAAGGTCTGACGTACCGCGGGGTGAGTGTGCTTATAGGCGAGCACTTGTCAGGGACATGTACCGAACTCCAATCACACACAGAGGGATCACGCTTGACCTTATTGCATCTGTAATGAGATAACAAGAGATATTGTAGGCCATTCTCTGTGTACGTTAAACGAACGTACCATTCTTTGGGTACGTTTAAAGCACGTGCTTACACGGCTTTGCCATTGGTTGTGTAGTGACTAAGGCTTGCTGGGCCACAGCACGGCTCACCCAGAGTGCACCGACGAGATGAAAATGCGTGGGTGTGGGAGGACTATATATAGCGGAGAGTGAACCACGCTATCGTAACCTGTGATCGTTCGGCGTACCCACATACAAATGAGGCGTTGAGAGCAGATGATATACACACACACGCACAAGTAAATTGGATTCCACCAACCTATGCCACCTGTCATAACTTAATCCGGCAAAGTGTTAAAATACTACTCTATGCACACCTCCACAAGTGTATGCATACTGTTGTTAGTGCGCGTGGTAGTTGTTGAATTGGTACGAAATAGAGCTTGTATCACACTGCAGATATTCGATGTGGTGTGTAACCAAGCAACTCCCCAGATGGCAGTCGTCCCTTCCCTCCTTCAGCCCTGCCGCTGCAGTTGTTGTTTTTTGTTATTGTTTTGTTTTTGAACCCTTCTGTGAGACTGAGCAGGGCTCAGCAGGCTACAAATTTACAAATCAATGTCAAACGAAACCCAAATGGAGCGACCTAATACCAAAAAGAGAAGGAGGCGATGGCCTCAGAGTGACGTATGCACATACTAAATACCACTAAATCATAAATGCTCTAAATAGGTTTAAAAAATATATATAGAGGGATAGAGAGAGCGAGTGAGAGTACATCGTTGAGCCTCTCAATTCATATGATATGTACTACACACTCAGTGCCCGGCTGCCCGCTGTATAGCGTACTCGACTGACTACTCTCGCGTATTGTATGTATTACTATATTTAGTTACTAGTATCTAGCCTCTACTCTGATATTCTTTGAGTCGCTGATTAGCTGATAGTAGTAGTGATAGGTGACCACTACAAGAAGAATAACTCCTTGACTCTTTGAGTTCTTTTTATACTGACAATTATGCAAAGATATATATCAACAACCAATGATATATTTGATATAAACTTTATCTATATTTTATTTTTTAGAGACTGTGAGAGACTGACAGTCTCTGCAGTCTGTACTCCTTTTCTATTGGTGTACCAAGCCGAAGAGTGAAAATCGAAGGTAGTCAAGATACTCAGACTAAGCCTAAGGTCCATAGGCCATATAGCCCTATGAATCTATGAGGCTATGGCCTGTGGGGGCACGGGATAGAAGTTGAACGTAAACGCATATATATTCAAAGTCATCAGAAGAGTCTACTTAAGTTCTTTTATAGGACTGGTTCGTATCATGAACAAGATATACACTTAAATGTTTAAACCCGCAAGTTGCACCTATGAGCATACAAAGGACCGCAGTTGAACGTAAACGTATATTTATGCGATTTATAAAAGTTTTATGTTATTAATTTTTAAAACGATTACAGACTTTAGTATGTAGAATGTCTTTATACGGCACTAGTGACAATAAAATTATTAACCACCTCAGGCCCAGTTTCGTCTCGTACACTTTTTCGAGTATACTTTGCTTCAAGATGTAATCAGCGTTATTTTAGCCCATTTATTGCACTTGTATTAGTTCTTTGTCGGCCTCAGAGGAGAGGTCGACGTATGTTAGACACGAATAGTGTCAACTGTAAAACCATGGGCGAATCCGAAGCAATAGCTATGACACGCCTATATACATGTGTCTAACTGCTAACATATGTCAAGCCCTTAAGACCGACAAGGACATAACATAAGTGCAACAAATGGGTTGTATATGCGCTACAATATTTAACGTTTAAGTCGAGCGCTTTCAGCCGACAGATAACAAACAAACCGGCAGAAAACAAACACATCGCACAAGTGCTTAAAATCACGCTAAATACATTAATACACCTATATTTAAGCAAACTTAACTCGAAAAAGTATGAGACTGGTAGGAATCTGGGCCTGAGGTGCTTAATAATTTTATTTTCACCAGTGCCGTATAACGACATTCTATGTACAATTCCTCTATTTATTTATTTTGGAAATGTAAGTGGAACCGAGATTTCGCCATGCCTCCTTCCGGGAACACCGGAACAGTGAACACCGAACAAAGTGTATGAAAGTCAGAAAGTCACACGAAGGAGTCGAGAGGAATCGAGAGGTCGAGGACTCGATACGACTCGACGGCTCGCCACTCGGCGCCCGGCCTTGTCGCCTTTGGATTTTTTCGTTGCAAATGTATGCAAAATACAAAATTGACCACAGCAGCTCACGAATCGAACCATGGATGCCTGTATGTATGCATGTAGTAGCACGAACTCATTACTGTTAGCCAAAACTCAAAAAATGGAGCGGTACATAGCCACAGAAGCTATAGTCATATCTAAAAAATTAGACATGGACATGGACGAATATTATGCATCACTTATAGACAATTCGATGGCAATAGCACATAGTACGTCCACCTTCCGAAGATCTTGACTTCGATCTTCATTCTTGCAACTTCCATCGTTGTCACAAGCGTTCAGCCTTCAAACCCGCTAAGATTCGCAGGTAGTACAGCTATAACATAGCTTGGCATAACACGTGTCTCAATTATATGTTTCCTGATGATCGTGAACTACTGTTTATGTCTGGGCCTGCGCGAGGTTTCAATGGTAAGTTTACAAGACATATGCTTAGTCGTCAAGTGCATACCGGTATAAACACACCTCTTCCCGGGAATACTGTATATAAATGCGATGGTATCTTACCTTAACCTGCTTTTAGTAGAGACGAACATCAGATGGGTATGATAGTTGATTCTTCATTGAATATATGCAAACAAAAAATCTAGATGACGAATACTCTGCGTACAAATGAGAGCTATGCGCGACTGGGGATGAAGGTACAGTGTCTGTAGGTTCTGCAAATGACGGTGCTCATGTACATGCGTGCGTGAAGAGCTACCCTACAGTCATTTACGGTGCCAAATTCGAAGGAAATTACGTGTTCAACATGTGCATACTGTGAAATTGACTCCACAATTTCACAGACTATTGAATAGTCGTAAGTAAATAGAGTGTACTTCCGTACAGAAGGTTGACAACCCAAATAAATTCGACTTCCTGGAACTGTCCGACGCAGCAATATGGTTGTCTGATTCAGCTACCTCATAATTCCGAAGATTCGGAGCAAAGAGTGCAGAGCTCTGTACTTTTCTACTGAGAATGAATTGCTAGTCGAGACATACTTCGTGGCCAAAAGGGCAATATCATATTCCAAAAATGGGCTGCATGTTGCATGTATCTTGGTCGAGTATGAAACTTCCCATTAGTCTGGTTCAAATATGGCAGCGTCTACAATGGCGAAACTTGTTTCTTTAAAATGAAAAATGTGGCGTTTCCGACATCACCGTGACCTACGAAGAAAATCATGTGACTGTGAAATTAGAGCGAGATGCATTTGTGTACAATCACCGGCGTATACGATAAATCACAATAGTGCTACGAATATTTGAAATTTGTTCACTGATAATGAATGTGTATATATTTATTTACACCAATAATTATAATCGTAAATTGCCGCAGTCGGACATGATTGCCTGATCCATGGAGTTTAACTTGTTACCGAGGATCAAATTAATATTCGCTATAGAAATTGTGTGCCAATCTCCCGAGATATTAGACTGAGATTCAGTTGGTTGCTTGCTATTATCACTTTGTGACGGCGGTATTGTGTATGGTGTACTACTGTTGAACAAAAATGATGGGACATCGTTGGCCATAGGTATCGCTGTCAAGTTAGCTTGTGCTGTGAGCTTTTCAACAGGGTTAAGAAAATCCAACTCGTCAATTACAACAACCCGCATGAACAATAATCTTGTGACGCCCGTAATGTCATGTAGGTGTGTGATATGAACTGAGCATAGGCGCCCGCCGATCACATGGATTATTTCTAGCATGTGGGTGATTTTTGGTTCTCCGGGGGCATTAACCATGTGAGGCAGTAACTGTTTGTACTGCTGTTCGTCTCTAGGTTTCAGATCATAAAGTTTCTGGTTTAGCATCGCCAACGCATCGTCCTCGGTGAATGACTTACCGACATGGCAATTGACAATGCGCGCTTCGTGTAAGAAGTTGATCGAATGAGGTGAAATATTGCGTGGAAGAAAGAAAAGGGCCCAATCATGATCAGCCGGAAAATCTAGTCCAAAAATGTCCGGCAGTGATCCAGAATCTAGACCAGCGAGACTCTCGTACGTCGCATTCATCGCCAGAGAGAGTCTGAGTGTAGCGATGTATGGTTCGGCATCGTCACGTTGCTTTTTGGCCTTCACCGTTTGGCGCACCTCACACGGTAAATTTTGCTGAGCGCAAAGAGTGCATGGATATATAGTTGTGTCGCTCGCAGAGCAGCTTCGTTTCAGTGAATGACATCGCTTGCAAGACCGTCCATATGCGAAATCTTTTCGTTTATTAGAGGGCCTACCTGGTGCTGGTTGACACTTCGTAATACCCTTTGCTATACAGCGATCGCACTTTGTCTTTCCCTCCGCCATCACACACTTTCGTTTCATAGCACGGCAGGCAATGCATGCCGAAGCTGTTCGAGCTGTTCTATCCTGGGCCTCACCCATCGCATATGCTATTTACTTAACTATCTGTGAAAAAAATCTATATTGCGGGCACTAAATTTGTCATCGTATATATATGTCTATTTTTTCCGTGTAGCGTATCGGGAAGAATTGATATGGTGGGATCGCTCTATTATTCACTATTCCGAGCACAAATTCCTGTGCTCGATTGGGAACGTGACTGACTGACTTCACGTTGTGATTGGTGAACGGCTGAACGCACCAGAATGGCAGGGGAAGCTGGGGAGCTGTTTAGCTATACAACATAGTTTTTGTTTTTGTTTTTTTAACTCGTTTTCTAGATGGTTTTGAATATATATATCTTTCATGCTTTGATTGCCGAAGAATCGGGTGAATCAGAATCACTCTCGCAGTCTCGCTATGCAAATAAATAAATAAAAATATAAAAATATGTATATGCTGTATATATATATTTCTTTTTAAAAACAAATATAAAATTGTTTTGTTTTTGTTGTTGTTCTGTTTCGTAAAAACAACAAAAACAAATAGGAATGTCTATATACGGCACTGGTGACAATAAAGTTATTAAGCACCTCAGGCCCAGATTACTACCAGTCTCATACTTCTACTTTTTCGAGTTAAATTTGCTTAAATATAGGTGTAAAAATGTGATTAGCGTGATTTAAGTACTTGTGAGATGTGTTTGTTTTCTGCCGGTTTGTTTGATATCTGTCGGCTGAAAGCACTCGACTTAAATGTCATATATTGTAGCATGTATACAACCCATTTTTTGCCTTTATGTTAGGTCCTTGTCGGTCTAGAGGGGTTGACATATGTTAGCAGTTAGACACAAGCATATAGGCGTCTTCTGTCTAAACTATTGCTTCGGATTCACCCATGGTTTTACAGTTGACACTAATCATGTTTAACATGCGTCGACCTCTCCTCTGAGGCCGACAAAGAACTAATACAACAAGTGCAATAAATGGGCAAAAATCACGCTAATTACATCTAAAAAAAGCAAAGTAAACTCGAAAAAGTGAGAATGGTAGGAAACTGGGACTGATGTGGTTAATAATTTTATTGTCACAAGTGCCGTATAAAGGCTTTCCTCCGCTTCATTGCTTCAGACACATATTTTTTTTCTGGAAATTTCGAACAATGGTCTCATCAGTCATCACGCTCTTCGGGAGTAATTTCAAATTTCCGGGATAAAAAATATGAATACCGCTGAAACGGTTCAGGGCGTGTTGTCGCACACGTGAGACGGAACG